TAACACTGCTCTCCTTTTGAGACAAATATGTCTTTCTCACTTAAAAGAAAATCTTTTCTTCCTGAAAATAAGATAACATCTCTGAAGAGTAGATAAGCCTTAATAGAGGTACGATGTAGTGGAAGAAGTGTGACTGCTAACTAATAAACCTGAATTCTAGTCCCAGTTGTGCCCATAATTGCAATGGGGACAAATCATTTCCTTTCTCCGAACCTCCGTTTTCTCGTCTGTAAAATAAGGGTGCTGGATATGGGGATCTCTAACTCTTGTTGCAGCTAAGGTCTATGCTCAGATGGGACTAATCTCACCACTCTTTCCAAGCTGCTCTCTTCTGCCAAATGCACTGCCTCTATCCTGGCATTTCTGTACAGGGTGAACAAACTTTAAAAATAAAACTTCCTACCTGCTGTAGGATGATGCGTTCACTTAAATTTTAGTTAACCTATTTATTCCTTGACAAGAGAAAACTGGGACATCAGATAAAAACCCATCTTTTCTGCTGTCTTGTCAAGGCTCATTCTGATCCTTGTGACTGACTGGTCAGAGCTCTTACCAGAGTCAGCAGCATCCACTCAACACCACTCATGACCTGTAGCTGCCTTTCAGAAGCGGTACATCTACCTACCCCTCGCCCTCCTATATTCACAGCTGCCGATCTGAAAATTATGATGTGTCAGACATTTTTCAACCTTAACATCCATCAACTCATCTTTACATTTCTAATCCCAGCTTAACTGTAATGGATTTTTAGGTAGCTAAAGAGGTTAGCCAACCAAGACAGAAAGTCACGTCATGAATAAGTAGCATGCTGAATATACATTTCTTACCTTACGCTTGTTGGTAGGACACACATAGAGATAGCTTAAAATCGTTTTCAAACCAACTTTATCATTCAGCTTCTCATAGGTTGTTCCATAATCGGTTGACCTATAATTCAAAAGGAGCACTAGTGAGGACAGAAGTATACGTCATTTGGCCGCCTGTCAGTATAATGCATGTTTTACATAGCAGAATGGCTCTCGGGAGGTTTCTAAATGACTCATGTAGTATATAATGATGCTTAATTATGTACACAGTAGCATCATGTGAGTGGTTAACATTTGCATTTAAATTGAATTGGTAAAAATTAAAACCCCATCTCTCTACCGCTGCTTAATGTACGCACAGTGCATAAAAGATGTGATTCATTTAAAAAGATTAAGCGATGAGGGTGGCCCTTGAATTGACCAAAGAATTAAAGAGCTTTTAGTTAGATATGACAATCTCCAAACTTTTGCTTTATCTTTGGCATAGAGGAAAGGCAGGTTCTCCTGATTTATCTACAAATTGTGTTTTCTTTCATGAGTCAGAGAATATATGGTGGGTCGTTCCCTTCAAAGGTCATTCAGTCTGTTCTATTATTTAAGAGCAAGAAAATGTCTCAATAATAAGTGAAATTTCACGATCTTACTCAATGGCCTTTTCCAGCGTTAAGCAACCCGGAGTTGGGAGGACATTGA